AAATCAGACCTGCTCCCTTTTAAAGTTCATATTTTGGGTAGTTCTCACCAGCTGTGACAGTGACAGACCTTGGGACCTTGACCAAGTGTTGGCATCTTCTCCCCAGGTCTGTCTACGATGGAGAAGAACACGGGCGGTTCATGGAGAAACTGGAAGCTCGGATCCGGAACCACGACCGGGAGATCGAGAAGATGTGCAACTTCCACTACCAGGGATTCGTGGATTCCATCACGGAGCTGCTCAAGGTCAGAGGAGAAGCTCAAAAACTGAAGGTGAGAGAAAAATCGCGGCCTTGGGCAACTCGGTTTTGGTTGGTCCTCCTTGAGCAGGAGGCTGGGACCGAGTGACCCAACCTCAAATGCTCTGGGATTTTCTGAAACCTCGGGAATGTCTGTTCTCCTCTTTGTCCAGAACATCTCTCCTCTGTTTAAAACAAATTTTAAAAAAAAAAAATATATATTTATATATCTCCTCATTCTTCCTGTAGAAAGAGGTTGGTCATTCGAAATTTGATAATTATTCGGGCAAACTGGACCAGGGTGGTGCATTAAAAACGTGATAAAACTTGAAGCTAAGCCCGTTATTTGTTAGGGAATGTGCTTTTCCTGGGGTACCTGACCCCAGTTTCTCAACCAAAAATAGATTTGTGGCCTTTAAAGCTGTGCAGGAATGTGAGAGAAGGGAGGAATTGACTTTTTCCTTGTAGAACTCTATTAGTATTTGTAAATATAATGTGTGTATATGTTCCACATATATAATATATGTGAGATATGTGGAAAAAGCCCTTTGTAGGATGAGAATGTGGATAAGTGGTGGGAAGGAAACTGGACAGGAAGGAAACTGGAAGGAAGAGAGAAGGGGAGAAAAGGAGCAGGAGGTTGGAGCTGTTCTACACCTTGGGCCAGGTGGGCTTGGAGTTTAAGCTTGGCTTTGTGCCTTAAAATACAAGTATTCCACAGTTTGGGGAGTATAAACCAGCACATCAGTGATTTAATTGGGGTCACAAGATCTGCCACATTTTCCTACCCAAGGCAGAACAGGGCAGGGAGAGGCTCCTGTGCTGTCCCCTTTTGTGGCATCAAGGTGTGACCTCGAGTGGGAAACCAAACCCAACCTCCCAGAAGAGTCACTCAGTGCAGGGGGTTGAGTCCTGTGACACCCAAAAATTTGTGGGTTGTCTCCAGGGACCAGCACAGCAAGACTTTCTGGCTGAGTGGAGCTTGTCCTGTGGTGTTCCAGGAGGATGGGAGGCTCTTCAATGGGTATTTGAGAAGCTGAAGTTACAAATAACAAGGGAAAAAAATACCTCAGAAAAGCAAGTTTTCTGGAAAAGAAAGAAGAATCCTAATTTCAGTGTGCTGACTGTGCTTTAAATACGTTTATTAATTGATTTAAAGCCGCCTCTGGCATTTCCTAACAGGCTTCTAATTCCACATACACAGTCTCTCCATCCCAGAAATGGCCACGTGATCACAGGAACACCTTCCTGAGGGATGTCCTGAGGAGGATTCATCCAGCAGGATGAGGCCATTGGAAATACCATGAAATAAGTCCTTTTTTTTTCCTCCTCCTCTTTTTTTAAGCCATTGTTTGGAGCCAAGAATTCCACATTGTTTGTTTGCAAAGGCTTGGTGCTGGTTCCCATTCTGCAAACAGCTCCTTTGTTGGTGGCTCACTGGGAAGTCCATCCCTGTCCCCTCAGGATCTCTCTTGATTTCCACGACTTTTGTGATCCATAAAACGGCACATGGGAAAAATATCCACAGAAAGTTTCTCTCTGAAAGGCTGAGCCCTCTTTTGTGAGGGTTTCCCCAGGGAATCATCTGTGGATCGAGTGGTGAGAGTGGGTTTTGTTCCAGCCATTCATCCTCCATTTGATCTTGGGCTCTTTCTCAGTGGTGCTGGGCTTTGAACAGACATTGCAACCAGCCATGAAATGAAAGCCCTCCCTGTCACAGTCCCCCCAGGACGTTTCTTCACTCGTGTGCTTTTGGCTCTGGGGTGTTTTGGGGGATATTGTGTTTGCAGAAACGTCGCTGGTGTTGTTTTAGGAGGGCACAGGCTGAACATGAGCTGGTTACCTTGCCCTGCTCGTGTGTCACACAACCCTCAGGGTTCTGAGATTGTGTTTCAGGTGGCCCCAAATGAACTAGAACCTAATCAGGACCCAATCACTACATTTTCTGTCCTATTTTGTTTTTCTTTCCCTGAGAGGACCTGACTCTGAATGGGGAAGTTTTCTCTCCTCAAACGTGAGCTCAGGTGGCCAAGAAGGCCAGGGGTACCCTAGGTGATATCAAAAATGTGGCCACAGCCCCAGGGCAGTGATTGTCACCCTGTGCTGGCACTGCTGAGGCACCTCCAGCCCTGGGGGCAGTTCTGGGACCCTCAGACAGGAAGGACATGGAGGGGCTGGAGCGTGTGCAGGGAAGGGAACGAAGCTGGGAAGGGGCTGGAGCAGCTGAGGGAGCTGGGGGGGCTCAGCCTGGAGAAAAGGAGGCTCAGGAGGGACCTTCTGGCTCTGCAACCCCCTGACAGGAGGGGGGAGCCGGGCTGGGCTCTGCTCCCAGGGAACAAGGGACAGGAGGAGAGGGAACAGCCTTAAATTGCACCAGAAGAGGTTTACAATGGATACTGGGGAAAATTCCTTCCTGGAAAGGGTTGTCCATCCCTGGCACAGCTGCCCAGAACAGGGGTGGATCCCCATCCCTGCAGGGATTTAAAATCCCTGTGGATGTGGCACTTGGGGACAGGGGTCAGTGGTGGCCTTGGCAGTGCTGGGGGAATGGTTGGACTCGATGATCTTTTCCAACCATAATGAATTTATGATTCCATGATGAGCAGAGGAGCCCCCCCTGCCATGGATTTCTGCAGGAGGCAACACTGTGTTGTTTTCAAGAGGCTCTGGGTCACCATTAATCATCTCTTTATGTATATATATATAAAATAACTTAATTGAAAATACTTGGGATGTGTTTTTTAAAAGGTATCTCCTTAATTTATATGATATTTAAACCATAACATTTTTAAACCAAACTTTTTTTTTTTTTTTTGCATTTTCTTACTCTTTTTTAAAAACTATGTAACCTCGCTCTGGCAATTCTTTTTCCTTTTAATTTCTTACCTGACTTTCCTTTTACTTACAAGGGAAATCTCGATGCTTTAGGATTTTTTTTTGTGGTACATCTTTAATGTTTTTGCATTTTCTTACTCTTTTTTAAAAACTATGTAACCTCGCTCTGGCAATTCTCTTTCCTTTTAATTTCTTACCTGACTTTCCTTTTACTTACAAGAGAAATCTCGATGCTTTAGGATTTTTTTTTGTTATACATCTTTAATGTTTTCACATCTTGTACTGCACATTCTCCTTCACTGGGGAGTGAGCAGGATGGTGGTGACCTGATCTCAGTCCTTTAAATATGTGGGACTTCTGGGTCTTGGAAACCACGGACCAGTCTGGCTGTTCCATCCCATAAAGGATCCAGTGGGAATTAAAAGGGCAGAGATGGGTTTTACATTAGGATGGTTTGACTTGGAAAACACGGCTCAAGGTGCAAAGGATCCCAAAGTCTCTTGGCAACCTCAAGAAATCACCTAATCCACCCAATCCAAGTTGTTCTTGTTTCCCAGAGAAGCTGTGGCTGCCCCTGGATCCCTGGAAGTGTCCCAGGCCAGGTTGGAGCAACCTGGGCCAGTGGAAGGTGTCCGTGCCCATAGCAGGGGTTGGAATGAGATGAACTTTAAGGTCTCTCCCAACCTAAACCATTCTGGGATTCATCTGTGTCATTCTTGATGGATTTTTATCCCACCTCTCCAATGTTGGCCTTCCCCCAGGTACTACTCTCCTTCCTTCTCTGGGAAACTCTGGTCATGTGGATGAAAAGTCTTTTTTTTGGTCTACTGCTTTTTGACCTGTCAGGCATAAAAAATGGATTATTCCTTCTTGGTTTTGTAGAATCACAGGATTGTTTGGGGTGGAAAAGCCCTCTGAGATCATCCAGTCCAACCATCCTCCA